AATGATTGAATTCAGTTCCAGCTGATAATTTACTATAATTTACCGCATAGTATTTGGAAGCCAATTATAAGTTTTAAAAAAATTAGATGCAATATTGAAAGTAGTTTTGTATCATTCTTTAAATAAAATTAAAATTATTTTCTTTTTAATAAATCATAAATAATTTTTTGTGAAGACAATTATATTTAAGCTGAGTATGAGAGTAAAATTTTTCCTCTTAATGTTAAGTAATCATATTTGAACTCTCCAAAAATACTTACATACTAAATTAAAATAACTTATGTCAATTAATTTACGTGTTTAAAAATAAATAAAATTAAAATTTTATTTTAATAATTGTGTATATGATATGATTATATATATATATATATGTGGCAAGACACACTAATATAAATTTAAAAATTTTACATTTAATCTGAACTTTTTATTTAATTTACATGTAATAGATTATAATTTATTATTTTACTGACAATTAGATATAAGTTAAATAAAAAATTTAAATTGAGTATAAATGTGTTTAAACTTACACTAGTATGAGAAAATCCTTTTATATATATATATAATTAAAAACTTTAATCAGAAAAATTCCTTTTGCAGTAACATTAAAAAGAGAGAGGAGAAGATTAAATTCTATTAAAGTTAATGAGAGAAGAAGACATTTGTTAAATTAACATTTCAGTTTAAACTTTTATAATTCATAATAATATATAACACACGTTCATTTGCTTGTTATCTGGCCTACATTTGGGAGAAAATTAAAAAGATGTGTCTGAGATAGTACTTCCCATGTCTTCGATTAAGCAAATTGCATCGAGACATTCCACAATGCTGCTGGACCCCTTTATCTGTATACTAACATGACCTTCAGTTTACTTACCCATAAATTGCATGAATTTGTTATATTCAACGTTTCATCAAGGTCGTTTTCTTTAGAAAAATAACTTTAAATTTAAAGTTAAATATGTAAGTATAATATTAACGGTTCATATATTATTTGAGTATATATTACTTATAGTTATTTTTATTATATTTAATTATAGTTACTTCACACTGCTATCATACGTTAATCTTTAGTTATGTGCATGAAATATATTTCGATATTTACAATTCATATTTTCCTTCTAAATTCTACTAATTAGAAAATTTTATTTTGTAAAAGAATTTAAAAATCATTTTTTAAAAGTTTTTTTCACTTTAATAATATCTTTTCAAATTTTTATTTATTGTTTGCATTGGTGTGCATCTCGTACATTGTATTGATTTTTAAAACAATTTTAAAAATCAAATTAAAATAAATTATATTTAAAATTATAAAAATATATATAATTAATTTAAATAATTAAGTAGAAATATAAGTAGTTTGAATTTAACTAAGAATAAAAATAAAAATAATTTATATTTTAAAAAATATATAAATGAATTTTAAAAATCACATAGTATAAAAAACAGAATTTGTTCCCACATGTTTTTGTTAAGAAACTTGTTTTAAAATTGTTCGAATCTGACTTCAAAATTTGTTGCCTTGGTGACAACCAACCGTTAGTAGAGTCAAAACATGGGTTAAGAGCATAGGAAAGGCGCACCTCAAAGAGGGATAAATTTTACCTTGCATTACATTCGTAATGAAATTTGGAGCTTTAAATGATTGAACTTGAAGATCGAAAATTTCTTTCTAGTTTACTTTTTACCTTATAATTATGACTTCATTTACGACTGTTTTAATTCTTTTAACATAAGTAAATAAATCTATAGTTAGGACAATGAAAATTTATATTAATGAATGTATAGAATTTTGATGATTAAATCTAACTTTAGTTTTTGTTCTTGACTAGTGTTTATCCTATTGAGCGTGATTACATGTTGTGAATTGGTCACTCGTAATATAACCCTAAATAATTATACCATAAGCGACCGTACCTCAATTAGTTAATGAATCTATAGAATAAAATAAGATAAAAATTAGGTGGATCATACCAATTCTTCTCTTCGAATCATTATTAAATTAACAAGTTCATAGGTATTTATTATTTTATTAAATTAATATCTTGCACGACCATTGTAGTTGTTAGTTTAGAGGAAATAATATTAATATGTTATGATTATTGGATATTAATAGTATTTATATGAATAATTGGTAAGCACAAGGAAATTAGATTTAGAGTTAATTAAAAAAAGAACATAAATGATTGAATGAATAAACTCATATGCCTTATATTCTACTCCTATAAATTTAACTAAAATGTGTGCTATGTTTGTTTTTGTCTTGAGATTTGGTGATAATTGTTTTAACTTTTAATTATGTTAATTAATTTTGCATCCCTTAAATTCAAACAATTGAAGAAATAAATTCTTAGTAATTGGGAACAATATCTATGGGATGATGATTTCGAGAACTTATTTTAAAACCTTATATTACTTTTTGACATATACACTTGCCCACCAAACAATGGTAATTGTTTCTCCAGATAATGACAATTATAGAAAGACATTATCATGTACTAACTTTCAAGCTTTGCCTAAAACGTGTTGGTGGTCTTTTCTCCAGAGACTTCTCTCAATACTTCATCACCTAGCAATAACAATATTATACTATGTCTTTTTCATTATCATATTATTCTATGAAAATGTAAGCTTGGTTAAGAATTTTGATTCTCTTTCTTACACCAACTCATATTCTTGTTGCGTAAGGAAAGTCAACATCTTCATCTGCCACGGATTAAGATTATTTTTCCCAGTAAATTTCTTAACATCAAATTTTGCAAATGGCATAACTTAAATACCCGTTTGTTGTGACAAATCATATTTGATGTAGAAGTTCATTATGTGAAAACTAAAGAAGAATCTCTTTAATAAGAAAAGAATAAAATTACAAAGAAGAATTATATGTGAATTATCATCTCACAGAGATTATTTCTAATTACTAAGATTATTGTGATTTAATTGTTTGAACTTAAATAGTGTCTAATAAAAAAAAAGAGAAAGTAATCAAAAGGTAAAGAAAACAAAACAACTTCTAACAAGAAATTGTTCTAGAGAAACCTAGGGCTTGTACTTTTAACTTTGCACCTCTTTATATTTATTTTTAGTTTAATTCAAATATTGGTTTCTCCAAAATCACCAACCTATCGTATTAATACAATTAACACTAATGATCATATAATGTTAGCAATATTTTTCCTAAGTTATTACACCAAAAAATATGGACTTATCACAACCTTAACCCAATGTTACTTTTTTTTAAGATAGTTAGTCTGTGATTGCAAAAAAAAATAAAAAATGATGATGATAGTGATGATTTAAAGAGTGATTCTAATTTTCTTATAAATGTACCAATGAAACAAAGGATGAAAGTTTTTTACTATAAGCATGACTCACGAGAACATGGTCAAGATAGAAGAAAGGATGGAGATTATGATGAGATATGATGAAGCGCACAATTAGTAACACTGAAGATGAAAACGTTGAATTAAGATATGAAGTTAGACGTCAAAAAGTATGAAACAAAATATGAGACTTGTTTGAAGAATTTAGTATTCTCTTCTAAAGATGATGAAAAAAAATTACTTGACATTAATATGAAATTATCACTGTAATGATAGGAATGAAATCAAAAATAAATTTTTGTATAAAGATTAATATATATATATATATATATATATATATATATATATAAAGACTAAATTACAAAAAAATCTTGTATAGGGACTAAAAGATAATTTAAACTTGTCATGATAAATAAACATTTGTTACATAGGAGAAAGAGCTAACGTCATTTTAATGTACAATATGACAGGGACAAAATTAAAAAATTTTATACAAGGATTAATATACATATTTTTTTATTTATAAAAAATAAATTAAAAAATCTTATTTAAGGACTAAAAGATCATTTATCTCTTTTAAACTTTTAAACCTAGACCTGCAAGATGACCATAGTTCGAATCCTAACTCTTTGAAAATTCCCACATCCCCTTCCCCTTTCTTCCCATGATAAAAAAAAAATTCATTTCCTTAATTGTAAAATTAATTCTTCTTTTTTTAATTAAAATATTTTAATAGAAATAATTTAGATTAATCTAAGTTATTTCAATAAAGTAACAATTTTTTTAATTAACTTGTAGTCAAGTGTTGGAATAGCCTTTATAATCTTTGTTTAAGAATAAATAAATAATTGTTTATACTAACAAATAATATATTATAGTAATATTTATAATTTTATGGTATATAACAATACTTTTACCAACAAAGTTATTTGTTAGTATAATATATCATATTTTTAAGTATATACTTTCCATGTTTATATCAATAATTTATTTATTTTTACATAAAAATTATATTAACAAACACTATCTTAATGTTGAAAAGAAATTATTTATTAGTAAATGAGATATTTTTAATGATTGTAATACTTCAAAAATATTTTCATCGTCAGAGTGCTGTACATTAACCACGATTGATTAACAGAGTGAAGTAAACATCTCGATATGCTATGTAATATAAGCGATTGTGTTGCAAATGACCTTTTAAAAAATATACACATCGGATTAGATTAGCAATTCTATAATTAGTAAAAAAAAAACCCTCTCAAATCTCACATGAGAGTTTGGGAATATAAATGAATCTTATATATATATATATATATATATATATATATATATATATATATATATATATCCACGTATACACGTACAACTGCAAACATCAAAAGATTCCATGAACACACGAAGAAAAGGAAAGTATTTTGACAGCAGTGGATGGTAAAAATAATGTGAGAAGCGAGGTGATGTGTGGTTCTTAGTGTAGTTGAGTTAGAAAATGTAGGTATGTTTAAAATGAAAAATATTATAATTGTGTATCTGTATCCATCATTTTCCGATTGCCCATCATGTCACTTGTGTAGAAATAGAAGAAACTAGAGACGTAGATGTGATTTGTTTTGTTGCATAGGATAATAGAAATACGAAAATCTATATAGCATAAAAAAGTTGTGGCTGCGGTTTACCTATCAATTCATTGTATCCCCACTCAGTTAGCCAATCCGATTCACTTGTTCTTCCTTCACTCTCTCTCTCTCTCTCTCTCTCTCTCTCTCTCTCTCTCTCTCTCTCTTTCTTTCTCTCTCTATACTTGGACCTTCTCTCAGTGTCCCTTCTCTGTGGTTGCAACTTGGGTGAAAGGACTGAAATACGAATTTTCTGGAAAAAGAAATCCCCCACAAAAGAAATGCTAAAGTGTGGGAGCAAGGAGCATTAAAAAGATAAGTGCCAAACCTCAAAGTTGTCAACTCAAATATCAAATTGTGCTTTTACCTCTTTATGGCTTAAAATTTCCCTCAGAAAACCAAACCAAAAGGAATAAAAAAAGGGAGAGAGAGAAAGGGAAAAAAAACTAGTTAGCATTTTTTGTTGTTCTTCTTCAGCTTCAGTACTGAAAAGAAAGTAAGGAAAGAGATCTGGTATATGGTTAACAGAGAAGTTGTATGTGTGAATATAGTTAAGGTTGTGGTGTTTGTGAACCTTTGTGGCGATGTCAAGTGGTGGATGCAGCATTGTGTGGTTCAGAAGGGATCTGAGGGTGGAGGATAACCCTGCACTGGCTGCAGGAGTTAGAGCAGGAGCTGTGGTTGCTGTTTTCATTTGGGCTCCTGAAGAAGAGGGTCAATACTACCCTGGTAGGGTATCTAGGTGGTGGCTCAAACACAGTTTGGCTCAACTTGATTCCTCTTTGAGAAGCCTTGGCATTCCTCTTATCACCAAACGTTCTACTGACAGTGTTTCTTCTCTATTGGAGGTTGTCAAGTCCACTGGAGCTACCCAACTCTTTTTCAACCATTTATATGGTTAGTTTTTATTCCTTTAGTTTATGTCTGATTCTAGTGCTTGCTGTTCGGTTCAGCTTCTTTCCCTTTTCTTCTATATGGTAAAATACCATGCTACTTTGTTTTGTTTTATGTAATTCTTCTATTGATGTTTGTAGATATTATACCAAGGTTTTGGGTAGGTTTCATTTTTAAGGACTACACGCACAACACCATTGTAGATTGTAGGATCCTTGATTGTAGTAAACTTTTATTTGTTATATTTTAGTAGTTTGATTATGGTTTCTTCTTTTTCTTTAGTTTGTGTCATGGTTGTTTCTGATCACTTCTATGTTTCCTTTCTCATAATTTCTTAAGTGAAGTTTGACTCTTGTTTCTTGGTTGCAAAGTCTTGGAGGAAAAACGGTGTTTTAATGTTTACATGTGATTGTGTGTGACAGATCCATTGTCACTTGTGAGGGATCACAGAGCAAAGGAGGTTCTGGCTGCTCAAGGCATTACCGTACGTTCCTTCAACTCGGATTTATTATATGAACCATGGGATGTGAATGATGCACATGGCCAGCCGTTCACAACTTTTTCTGCTTTTTGGGAAAGATGCCTTAGCATGCCTTATGACCCACAAGCACCTCTTCTCCCACCTAAAAGGATTATTCCAGGTCTACTTTTGTTTATTTATTAATTTATTTTTCCTTGGTCTCACATTCCTTTTAATTTTATTGATGATATTTTAATATTAATTAGTCGCCAGTTGCACGACTCGTTTACCTTTTCTGTTTCTAGTTTGAAGTCGGCACAAAAGATCCAAATTGGGAAAAGAATGCAAAAAGTTGCGAAAGTAAATTGATTATTTAATCAGATGCGGTTGATTTAAAAATTTATAGATCATTTTGCCTCATTATCTAATGAGCATTCAATGTGGTTGACCAACTATTATAAAAAACAAAAAATAAAAGATTCAACAAATGTTCTATGGACTTTTTACAGCTGGCTTCTCGTTCAAATTGGGCAAGTCTACAACTTTTGTAATTCCTTACGTTGATATAGAAGCGTTATTTTTGGTTCCTAATTTATGCGAAGGGTTCCTTCAAATATTTATTTATCCAATAGAAAGAAATGAATGAAACGGTGCTTTAATTCAGGGAATAATGTCAGAATGCTTTGTGAGATTGATAGATTAAATTAATGTAAAAAAAAAATCTATGGTTTGGAAGACTGAGGTTACACTTTACATTATTTAGGAACTGAATCCTCTCCAAAAATCAGTCAAGTACTAAAGAAATGACACATAAGTGTTACTTGTATAAACTCTACAAGTATGTTATGTGGCATTACATTAGTACATGCTTTTGTTCTTTGTGGCATTATTTTTCATTAATCAACACTTGACTTTAACGTAAACATTTCTTACCTTCTTTCAGGTGACGTATCAAGGTGCCCTTGTGATACATTGGTGTTTGAAGATGAATCAGAGAAGGCAAGCAATGCACTTCTTTCTAGAGCATGGTCACCTGGGTGGAGCAATGCTGACAAGGCTTTGACAGCATTTATAAATGGTCCACTGATTGAGTACTCAAAGAATCGCAGAAAGGCTGATAGTGCCACAACCTCTTTTCTCTCACCACATTTGCATTTTGGTGAGGTGAGTGTGAAGAAGACTTTCCACCTTGTCCGAATTAAGCAAGTGTTTTGGGCCAATGAAGGGAACAAGGCTGGTGAAGAAAGTGTGAACTTGTTTCTCAAGTCTATTGGTCTTAGAGAGTATTCAAGGTACATTAGTTTCAACCACCCTTATAGTCATGAAAGGCCTCTTCTAGGCCACCTTAAGTTTTTCCCTTGGGTGGTAAATGAAGGGTATTTTAAGGCTTGGAGACAAGGGAGAACAGGGTACCCTTTGGTGGATGCTGGAATGAGAGAGTTGTGGGCCACTGGTTGGTTGCATGATAGGATACGTGTTGTAGTTTCAAGTTTCTTTGTTAAGGTTCTGCAGCTTCCTTGGAGATGGGGAATGAAGTATTTCTGGGATACCCTTTTGGATGCTGATCTTGAGAGTGATGCTCTTGGTTGGCAGTACATATCTGGTACTCTACCTGATGGTCGTGAATTTGACCGAATAGATAATCCACAGGTGCAGTTGCTTTTGTGTATATAAACTGCATAATCTTGCTTAATGTTGACAATTTTGTGTTTGATCATCTGTTTACATGTTTTTCTTTTCTGTTTCTTTTATTGGAAAGGAAAGCCATGTATGATTGCAACTTGCATAAACCTGTTATGATTACTCGTGTGGTTTGTGTAATTTGTGCAGTCATAGACTCTTCTGTCCACCATTGAGTTTTTCCACAAAATAAAACACAAGTATTCCCATCCTCTTCTCTGAACTGCCTCAAATATTGCTATGTGTATACATAGCATACAAGCCAGTGTTTGTGCTTCTATTCACATTCCTTGTTTCAATACCAATTTAAAAGAAGCTAAAATGGCAGTTCCGGTGTGGCTTTTATGTTTCTGTCCACGTAGGAGCTTCAATAGTCTGGACTGACGACTCTTTTAAAACATTTCACAGTGCTTGAAAGTTAAAATTCTCAGGACATACAAGGGAACATTCTGGCTTTTTATGCTTCATCTGAACTTTACCCTATTGAAAATTTGAGAGCGCCATTCTTATTACCTGTGAATTTGGTCAAATATATTATGATCAATCATAACTATTTTGAGTTGTGTCTTTTACAAATTTGATCTTGTTTAGATTGGTATCTTTGTTCCTCCAAATTAAGGGGTAATTGTTATTGACGTTTTATGCTACTGTCAGCAGTTTGAATGATTAATGATGATAAACATATGTAACAAATGCACTCATTTGACCTCTGTATTGTCTAGTTTGAGGGCTACAAATTTGATCCAAATGGAGAATATGTTCGACGCTGGCTTCCTGAACTTGCCAGATTACCGACAGAATGGATACACCATCCATGGAATGCACCTGAGTCTGTTCTCCAAGCTGCTGGAATTGAACTTGGGTCAAATTACCCTCTTCCCATTGTAGGAATAGATGCAGCAAAAACAAGACTGCAAGAAGCACTTATACAAATGTGGCAACAAGAAGCAGCATCAAGGGCTGCAATGGAAAATGGAACAGAAGAAGGGCTTGGAGACTCATCTGAATCAACCCCTATTGCTTTTCCTCAAGACATACAAATGGAAGAAAGACCTGAACCTGTTAGGAACAACCCGCCTCATGGTACTCGGCGCTACGAGGATCAGATGGTTCCAAGTATCACTTCTTCTCATGTGAGAGTGGAAGAGGAAGAAACATCTTCTGATCTTCGAAACTCGGCAGCAGACAGCAGAGCTGAAGTGCCAATAAATGTAAACACACATCAAAATGCAAGAGAGACAGTTAACCAAGGAGTGTTGCAGATGCAGACTGTAAATAGAAACACGCGAATACAGAGTAATACTACAATGTGGCTGAGAAATGCAGCTGAAGATTCCACAGCAGAATCTTCAAGTAGTACTAGGAGAGAAAGGGATGGTGGTGTAGTTCCTGTATGGTCTCCACCAGCTTCTAACTTCTCGGAGCAATTTGTAGATGATGAAAATGGTATAGGAGCCAGTTCTTCTTTCTTGCAGAGGCAGCATCCTCAGTCTCACCAATTGATGAATTGGACACGGCTACCTCAAACTGGGTGAGATTTCCCAAAGCATTGAAAAATATTAATAACATAAGCGAAATGCTAGTAACATACTCTTTTGACATACTTTTTAACACTCTTTATGATTGATCAATATTCTAAGAAGCAAAAACACTCAGCTTTTAAATGATAACTTTTGAAAAATTATTTTACTTTTAATAAATTGACCAATAACAAGTAGTGTAAGAGTTTTTTTAAAAGCGTGTATTACTAGTGTTCCTCATGATATAAATATACTTTGTGCTTCATGCTCAACAATTTCTTTACACCTTCACAGAATCACAAGTTCATATTCAATTATTTTTGGACTTTGAAACATAGTATGGCTGACCTGCTTCTGTTCATATTCCAGTTTTTTCTTCTGTTTTTTCCTTCCCTTGCTTGCTTTTTGGTGTTTTCACTCCTGATTATCCTCTTCACGATAATTGGATAAACTCTAGCATTTTATAAGATCTACAATTGATTAGTGCTTATTTTAAAAGACCCATCCTCTCCTTTTAAAAATGTGTTTTATGTTAACTTTATATTAATTTTATACTATGCATAATAGCCATGTAACCATGCTGTGTTTTATGATGTCTATGTAAAGAGTGTACTCCAATATTTTCATGTATCTATAATTTATCAGGAAAATCATCTAATGAATAAGAATGTTGTGGATGATATTGTTTCGAATCTGATGTTATATGATCTCCTCTTTGTCTTGTTACCTTATTACAATTAATATTTTAATTGCAGGTAATTCACATTTAGAACATGCTGATTAATAGCAGGGAGATGGAAAATGCACTGTGCCCTCTTCTTTTGAGAAAAATGGGATGGCGAACCTGGCATTGGACATACATGTGTTCATTTTTTACATCCTTAAACCTCTGTCTTGACATATGATTAACGGCTGACATCAAATGTGCATGAACATTTCAGTTCATACGGGTAGTTTCATCTTCTGCAGTGCCTTTTGCTTTCTTGTACAAAATGTGTAGGCCTACTGTATAGTATATTGTGTTGTGAAGGAGAAAGAGCCACTATTGGACCTTTGGTCCTCTATTAAACTCAGGTTTGTGCTTATCATGTAAGGAAGTTATTTACATTTACTATCCTGTGCATTTCTTTTGACTACTGTAAAGTGCACTCATCTCTGTGCTCAAATTTCTTTTGACCCTGGTTGTTTGATTTTAGAAAAGGTTTACTCTTTTCACTTATATGTATAAAATTGTTACTTTATTTTCATTCTATTTCCTGTTTTAAAAAAATTGGGTACAAAAAGAACGAAAATAACTATTTGTTATACAAATCTTTAAATATTTGAAAATAAGAAGCAAGATGAAAATAAAATAATGCTTTTGTAATTAAAAGTGAAAATAAAAAATAAAAACAGAAAAATGTTTTATAAACCTAAACAGTCCCTAAATGATAGTGCCAAAACACGTTTTTCGTGTATTTTTGTAATTTTCATTCCAGAAGATTCCTATGGCTGAGTGAGGAGGTGCAAATAGTTGCATCATGTTAGTAACTTAATCTGAAATTGCTTTGCTTTAGCCATCATAACTGCCATAACAAGTGCATACTTGGACCTGTTACAAGATCAGGTCCAACATTAAATATTCCTATGCTGGACCAGATTTTTGTATTTTTGGATAATTACAGATCCCCAAAGAGATTGATCAAGTTAATGGGAGTTTATGGTTTGAACTTTGAAGAATTAGGAAGGTAAATGATTATGATTGCACAGGTGAAATGGTTCGGGTTTATCTGGTTTGGGTACTTCTAGGAATTTGTCAAGCGTACCCAAATGTTTCTGTAATATACACATACCATAGCAGGGCCTTAACTCCTTTCAGGATTCACGAAAGCTTCGGTAATTGGCCTGCAGAGTCATTTTATTGATTTAGTTTTTAGAACTTCGAAATTGCACATTAATATACTGTCTTCTAGCATGTTTGGATCAACTTTTTCCAAAGGGGATAATAGATTATGTATCTAAAGTTTGATTATATTTTAAAATTTGTCTTATAAAACTGAGAAAAAATGAAGAGCTTGCTATACTTTGCATCAGTTGATGAATAATAAATTGACAGTGTGAAAATCAATATTACATGTCTCTAATTTTTCAAAATAATTACTCTTTTTAAGAGTTTACAATTATTTTAAAATCTCATGTGTCTCAGTAATCCAAGCTACGAAATCTAACCTTCCACCAGAGATTTCATTTCAAACCCCTGTCGTCGTCCTCTCCTATGTAATTTTTTTTTAAATCATTTTTGTAAAAAAAAATAACTCATTCACTAAGACACGTGAGTTATTTGAAGTGTATTTTAAAAAATTTTATGGCAATAAATGATTAGTTAATAATTTATAGTAATTGTCTTGATAATACAAGTTTTATAATAAATAAAAGTATAAAAATTAATAATTAATGCATGCTAAACTATAGTTGAGTGATATTTTTAGCTTAGAGAGGTAATCGAGTCAACTTTGACCCATTTTTAAGAGGTCATTTTGATTAGGAGTTGTCAAATTACGTTATCATTTCTTAAAGAAATTTACTTTAACTAAATTGTTTGAAAAGACAACAATGCATGTGAAGCATGCTTATGACATTAAAATTTGATGTTTTGCTTTATATAATGAGAACCTCTAATCATAAACTTTTTTTTTCATAGATTTATTTTAATTTAATATCTTTTTCTTTAGGCTTCAACCCCATTGTTAACTTTTAAAAAAATGATGTTAACAATCAACATTATATAGCAAAAGGAATGCAAATGTTGAAAGAATATGGATAAAACTAAACCCCCCCAATCCCCATCCAAATTGACAGAAAAGTAAACAAAGTTCCAAACAGAAAATGAAGAATGATATTAAAAAAGAGAAATGAAAAAATGCAGAATGATTGTCTATTTGTGAGCAATGTATGTTTAGCTTTCTTTCTATGAGAAAAATGCAGCATCAAACCTGGCTTTGTCTAGTTATATGCCTCATTAGCCATCTCATTCTATTGCAAAGAAAGAATCTACCCAGGCCTACCCTTTGTCTCACTTGAAGGTCTTGATAAACGTGACTAAATTAAATCCACACCAGTTAAATTAGTTTTTATAATATAAATCATTTTTAAAAAATAAAATAATTAGTCAATAAATAATTATTTGTTATTTTTTGTGCTAAAGTGACAAAATTAACTTTAATGATGATTCTAACTCCTTGAACATAACTCTGTATTAATTATACAAATTTGCTCATCTTTTATAAATGCACTATACATGAACCTATGATATAATTTAAATGATTTAAAACAAGCTTCTTGTGGTATGCAGTGTGGAAGAAACCTTTTTATTTAAGCAAATAAAACAAATAAAAAAAGTCCGGTTATCTCTCAACCATTATCTTTTCTTCTTCCAATAACACTCCTTATTCTTTCTCATATGTTGCCTTCATTTTTGTCTCAATTTTGTACTTCATTTTCTATATTTTAAGTCATTTGTTTAATACATTTAGCAGTTATTTGAGAAGAAAATTTTGGAGAAGAGAAAACAGAAAGATAAATTTTATATTTAAAATAATATTTTTAAATAAAAAATATAAATTAATATATCAACATAAGTTTAATATTTAATAATATATTTGTCATTATAAATATATATATATATAATTTTAATTTAAAATTAAAAAAATATGTTCTCACATCTTGTTACTTTCAAAAACTTCTTCCAAAGCAAAGTTTAAAGAAACTTATGAAACATGTGTGCTCATTTTTTTAAGCTATCAATGTAATTTTGGATAATTATTTTAAGAGTTAAGAATAATACTCTAAAGAATAAGAAGACTTACTCTTTATTTAAAAAATATTATTTAGATTTTTGAGATATACTTGCAACTTAAAAAATAAAATAAAAATTTTTCTTAACATATTTTTATTTGAGAAAAATTTATCTTAGACTTATCAATATAAATCTAAGAATTTCATCTTTAAATATTTTCTAAACTCTTGTTGAAAGTTTGCTATCTCCCTTTAGTTCTATAATAGTTTTAAGAATGATTTAGTTAGTTCTTTATTAGTATAAGTAGATAATAATTATAGTGACAATTTTTTATAATTATTTTTTATATTATTATCGTCTTTGCTGTTTGTTTGGAAAAACGAATCTTTATGTTATTTTATGATAACTTCAAAATTATTGTCATGTAGATTTTTGTTCAATAACGTTGTTATATTCGTGAAATATAAAAGAAACAATTATATTTTTATCATCTTGAATGTTATTCATTTTTAAATGTAAGAAACTCAGACTTTTATCTCCAAAATTGAACATGATACGAGAATGATTATCTCTAAATTATATTTTTGAAAAAACAATCATATTAAAAATTCTATAGTCATTGGTGGGATGACAATTTAGGGGCACCTATCATATCGAATGCACAAAGGATCGTTAATAAGATGAAATTATCCTCAATTTTATGAAATGTTATCATACAACTTGACTTGAGAGATGCTTGTTAGATGGAGCTAGGAGACCAAACACACGAGAAGAGAATTATTAACAAATGCAGCCACATCAAACTTTGATTCCATCATGTCTCATCCACATTTAAAATATTTTGGTAAACTATTATTTCATTTTTATCAATATGTGTTTTATTTTAATAATTGTGAATTTTAAAAAATATTATTTAATTATTTAAATTTCTTAATTTTATAACTATGAACTACTTGTGTATTACCTACTTCTTTTGTAGATTCTGTTATGATTACATGCTTTTATCAAGTTTATGTGAATCGCTCTATATATTTGTTTTAAGACATCAAATAATTGAGTTGCAAATAATTGAGAGGTACGTTCTTTCTTAGGAAAATGTTTCATTAGTAGGCCTTCATTTTCTTAATTGCTTCTTTTTGCTTTATGTTATCCTTCTTCTACAATTTTAAAGAGTTGGTATTGTTATTTTGGAGATATACGGATAATTTAATATTGAAATGATTTAGGATATTCCAATAGGTTAGTATTGAAATAATGTAGAGTTAGAATTGATATTGTGTCTTTGACCGATGATGAATTATAAATAATTTAATAGGTTTTTTTTTTTATTTTAGGATGTTGATATTATAGGAAAATGTTTGGCAAAGTTTTCATTAATTTAAATTATCACTTATTAAAAATTTATTTTATTGAAAATATTTGCATTAATTAAGTCTATCAAATTAATTAATATTTTTTCATCTTAACTTGTACATTGGTTATGGATCCAATTATACATTGTCACAATGTTTTTTATTTCATGAGTTGTAATCTCATCACGGTTTAGAGTATGAGTTCTATTAGTATAGATAAACGATCAAACATTTGTACACACTACACAGTGCGACAAGGATTAAAATTTTCCAAACAAAAGGAAAAAGATAAAATTCTAAGCCTTGGGACTCCAAAAATTGAGTAAAGTTTAAGGAGTTGTTTGAATAGAATAAGATACATTCTCAAATCTGACAAATCACAGGTTCAGACATTTCTGTCTCCTTGAAGTGAGATAATGTAAATTTTGTATAAGCATTCTTTAAATCCTAAGAACTTCCCTATTTTAAAATATGATATCATTCCCTTTCCTAAAATTCTTGTGCCACGAAAAGAATCAATTAAAATAAAATTTTGTTTATGGCACTGACATGCAAAAGGTGATTCTAAAACAATAATAATGATGAAAAAGCAAGTGAATAAGGTTGGCGAATGCAAAGAAACAATATTTTAAACTTAAAACAGGGTGAATGAAAGGAAAGAAGAATCATGTATATTCTTTTTAGTAGGTTTAGATATATTTTGGTTATTATGTTTTTGTGAAATTTTACATTTTGTCCTTCAAAAAATTTTATTTTTTAAACTCAATTTTACAATTCTAGTCATGAGATAAATAATTAAAATATATGTAATGTTCTGTACTGTGTGTGAATCATTTTTGTTGCATCACATCATTACTAACAACTTAAAGTAAATAATTTTAAAATTAAAGTTAAAAGAAATTTTTCAAAAAACTATAATTAAAATCTTTAAAAAAATATAGAAACTGAAAAATGAAATATATTTAAGTCGTCATCCTATTGATAAATGGGGTACGGTATTTTAAGAGTTTTAAATATTTTTTAAAAAAATTAAGAAAGCATCTTAAGAAATATTTTTAATAAAATTAGGTTAGTCGAGGTTTTATATAAATCCTAGAAAATAAAAGAGTATTATATAATAAGTGCAGTTAAAACAGAAGAAAAATTAGAGTAATTTATTAAAAATTAATAAATCTTATATGTTTTCAAATTTGTTCAAAGAAAGCTTATACGATTTAATTATTTATCAAATAAATTTCAATTTATAAACTTAATTGTACAATTTTACTTAACATATTATACATCATTAAAATAAATATGCAACAAGTTATACAATCAATGGGTCAAAAGTTAGGACCAATTCAAATTCTTGGACAATGATCCTATTTTCTATGCATAAAATGAAAAATCAAGTCAATTAGTCCGTGAAGGCACAAACAAAATCAGGTCATTTCCGATTAAACTACTTTTAAATTTGATTATAATTTGTTAGCCAAATCAGCAATATACTATTTAGTACTGTTGGTTTGCAAAGAAAAATAGAAATTATAGTAAAAACAGTTGATATTTATTACTAATTAAATATAAAAATTCTTTTAGTATGAATTTGTATTCGTACACAGAAATCATCGTAACGAAATAGAAGGTCCATGGCGTGCAACCGCAAACTTCATTTGCAACTGAAATTTCAATTACTCAAATGAAATAACTTAGTTACGTAAAATTGGCGTTATAATATTGTATTTGTTATCTTTATAAAATGTGAGACGCGGATATTGACAAAATAATCATAATCATATATCGTCAGAGAGCACTATAACATTTTAAGAATAAACTTGTACTTCCACGTCACGCCAATTAAAGATAAGAAATTAAGATCAATGTATAATAAATGTTCAGTTAATCTTTTCAAATATAAATAAATTTAAACGTAAAAGCTTAATTTCATCATTTAAATTAATTGAAGGAACCTTCAATTTTGATGGATTTAACATTGATCATTTAAGAACAAGTCGTAGTTATTTTACCTATTACTTATCTAAATCTAATTTTCAAAATCCTAATTTAAATGAATACCGATTGTTATTCTTTTGAAAAAATATATCTTGTCTCCATCCACGACTTTCATGCGTATTCTGATTATATTATTTAAAGGAATTATTAACAATTATTTTAAAGCTATTTTTATGAATGAAAAATTATATTTTATTTCTAGTTTTACTTCAACTTTTAATATAATGATGTGTTCTAAATAGTCAATTAATATAATACTAAAAACTAATTCAAGGAGAAATTGGAAAAAAAAATTAATAAATGAGGTAACCAAGTTAAGCTCAAAGTTATATTTTGAAAAGAAAATATCAAAATTATTTAGTATATATTCATAAACTGATGTAATATTATACAAAATTGTAAAAAATAAATTTTTTATTAGATTGAATTAAATTTATATCTTAATATAAAAATATCTAAGTTAATCCAAGTTAAACTTACTTATACACATATATGAAATTAACATATTACCCATACTAATATAATAATAGATTAATGAAATTACATACCTATTTGTTTTATTCAGGATTATATTATAATTTTTTTATTATCTTAATAAATTTATAAGTTTATTAATTTTGGATCAATTTAAATTTTTTCTTGCGTGTCTAATATTTTCTTTAATTACATTTTATTTTGTGCTTTATGTTGAAAGGTAAGTTTTAATAAATATGTGTAAAAAATTAAATATGATTTATTTATTGTTTTTTAAATAAACAAAACAAAAACTCAATTGATTCAATGCACTTTAGATTGAATCAAATTTAAAATATAAATAAAATTAATTGAAGGATAAATCACAAAAACGATGAGATTAAATCGAATAATTTTTTTTTTCTTAAAGTTAATTTTCGAACCACGAAGATCCTTATTGTCTAATGTCTATGAAATTAATCTATATTTCTAAAATTTATTCAGAGGATCAATTTGTCAATTGAATAAGCTTAGTTTTTATTTTTTGGCATTGTTTTTATATATCTTAAATTAATGCAATTTCTTTGATACTCCGTCCATCCAACAACCACTCTAGAAAACTACCTGAAAATTTCTTTCTTTTATATTTACTTCATAAAATTAATTTCCTTAAATATACAATAAATTCTTAAAATATTCTTCAAAGGTATATGATTCAAGTATTTTCAATTTTGGTGCTTTAAAAATTCTTTATTAATTAACTACTTTGTAAAAAAGATTATTTATTTTAATCATTTTCATTCTTTTATAATCATTTCATACTAAAAAACTAAAATAAATTATAAAATCAAGGACTAACAAATAATCTTTCAAATTTTATGAATCAGAATACGTAACTTATATATTTTGAAAACTAAATTAAGAATTTATTTTAAAAAATAACATTTGGTCAAAAAAAATAAAAGAAAAGCAGTAGAAAAGAGACAGTAAAACAGTGTAAAACAAAAGAACCTAGGAACATCAAAGTTAAAGCGCAAAGAAGTCTCTGCCTTGTGTTGTGGCACCCACTTTTACTTTCTTTTTAATTTTTCTATGCACACATATACACTTTTGGTATGTCCCACGTTTGGTATGTCCCACGTTTACCTGAAACGGGTGAACAATGTCAAAACAGAGAAACACAAGTACAAAAACACAAGCATCCTTCGATTCCCTCTTTTCTCAATTTTCATTAATCATCACTTGTTTTTCACACACAACATTTTGTTTTCAAATGTTGCGTGTCACCTTTCCCCTTCCCCTGCTTCTTCATTATAATTTCCTGATATAATAAAGAATGGGAAGAAACAGTAAAGGGGAAGAAAAAGAGCATGAACTATCCAACCCAACAAGATCAAGTTGAATCATTTGTCATTTTTGATTGGACCCGTATCGTGACACTCATTTAATACCAAGTTTGCGTATCCCTTGTTTTTGGCTTTTGCTTTATGGGGTTTTGGGGTTGTTTTTTTTATCACAGAGTTCATGATTCTGGACAAAGCCTGTGATTTTGGGAAGTGGGTTTCTTTCACCTAAGTGGTTTATGCTGAGAATTAGTTGGAAAAGTATTGTCGAACAGGTTGCTCAACCTTGTTTTTATCATGGATAAATTATGCTGCTTTAAGTCTTCTTTCTCTCAGGTAAGGATGTAACATCACCTCTGGTTGTCTTCTTTTCTCATGCTTTTACATGAAGAGTATGTTTCAAAAGCTTAATTAAGGGCTTGTGTCATAATTTTATTCATGAAATTTATTAGAATAAGATAGCTTATTCTGATAAGCAAGACTCAAAAGCTTATTAAAATAAGGTAAAATGAACTTATAGGAGTCATAAGCTAATTTTATAAGTTGTCCATGATATAACCAAAATGTTTTATTTTTCTGTCTATTGAGCTTGAAGGGGGTTCAATTTTATGCGGCGGGGTGTGTTTCTGTTCTATATGATTTTCTTGAATATTCCGTGTGTAGTTTTATCTTGGTCACCATTATCATTATCTAGGGAAGGGGACACGGTTTAATGTACTGCACTTGATTGGTTAGTAATTTTAATTTGTTTGCAGAATGCTAATTTTGTCTTGATCATAGCATTTTCTGGATTTTTCAAATCTTTTGCAAGGCGAATTAGACTGTTTAAATTATGACTAACCATACAATTTACCTATTAGTGTTCTAAGATCTACCATCATGAAGTTCATAAGTTGCCAGTGTGAAACTTCAGCTAAATATGAATCAAATAAAACATTTTGGTCATCTTTGACCATCTAGATGACTCCTTGAACTCTGAAGGTTCTGTTTGTTTGAAAGAGGATTGTTATTGAATGTGGGATTATGACTTTTCTTCGCTTCCATGTGTTACCACAAACTGTTAAATATTTCCTTTTACATTGTTTTGGTTGCTTTATAGCTTGTAGCTGCACGTTCTTCATCCAGCACTGGTAAGGGGAAAAATCATGAAGGGTCAATAAAGTATGGCTTCACCTTAGTGAAAGGAAGAGCTAATCATCCAATGGAGGATTACCATGTTGCCAAGTTTAAGCAGATACAGGAGAAAGAATTGGGTTTATTTGCTATTTATGACGGCCACCTGGGAGATCGTGTGCCTGCGTACTTACAAAAACATTTGATTTCTAACATTCTAAAGGAGGTGTTTACTCTTACAGTTGTAAAAATTATAAACCTTATTGCTAGTTTGATAAGAATTCTGGTTTGAAAGGTTCCATTCTTATACTTTATTATTTTTATGGTAGGAAGAATTTTGGGATAACCCTGCTGCATCTATATCAAAAGCATATCTGAGCACAGATCAGGAAATTCTTTCACATAGTTTTGATTTGGGGCATGGTGGATCAACAGCTGTAACTGCAATATTAATCAACGGGCAAAGATTATGGATAGCTAATGTCGGAGATTCACGGGCAGTTGTTTCAAGAAAAGGTCAAGCAGTGCAAATGACTACAGAACATGAACCCAACAGGGAACGAGGCAGCATTGAGAATAAAGGCGGTTTTGTCTCCTATGTGCCAGGTATATTAAAGCTTCCGTTATTCCAGTTTCTAGTCAGTATACTTTCAGGTTATGTAGTTCTGGCAAAGTAGGCTTACCAACTAGGTCTATTCAATTCTGCCGGATAAAATATAGTGCTTAGGTTTTTAATTTTGAGTCTGAATTAAATTTGCAGGCTAAGCCCTCAAAAGCTAAAAAAAAATAGGGCTTTGTGAGGTGGCTGACCCTGTTCAAGCTCGCTACTTGTTACGACCCAATAAGACAAAGCAAATTAAATGATGCATCTGTTTAACTAAATTGTATGAGCTTGCACAAGCAATATTCTACTTATGGTTGGGATGCTGTACTGAGAAATAGTTTGGTTGTTCCTGTATTTGATATGCTTTTACATAATGAATTAGAAAGTACTTGTATGAATTCATGTGCTTATTTAATAAACCATAACTAAATTCAAATGTAGAAATTTCATGTCATGTTTAATGCATTACTGACTGATTTTGTAGTGTGGTTTTGTCTTTGCTTGGAAAAAAAGTTTTACCTACATCATGAGCCATGATGACACTTAGATTTTGTCTTTTAGCGTGAACATACATGCTATGGTTGTCAGCAGTTCATAAAATTAAGGTCCAGCATCAAACATCTTCTCTCCATTTCACCAAAACCATATGTTTCTACAAATTCATGTGATATTTGTCAGCGGAAAGAAACTGCAGTCATATGCTAATGATTTCAACCATAATTATTTGCTCCAGTTGTAAGTGATGATGAAACAATTTATACATTTTATTGTGTTAGTATGAGTGATATTATTTAATAACACTAAAAATTGAGCACTGTATTTGTATAGATGCTAACAATAGTACTAGTGATATCCAATGCATCTCAGGTGATGTGCCAAGAGTAAATGGGCAACTAGCTGTTTCTCGTGCATTTGGAGACAAGAGCCTCAAGTCACATTTGCGATCAGACCCCGATGTACAAAGTACTGATGTAGATGTTGATATTGATATTCTAATCCTTGCAAGTGATGGACTTTGGAAGGTGAATCTTTATACTCAAACATTTGTTGCCCAAGAAAAATTTTAAACATATATGGTTACAACTTACAATTAGGGAAAACATTTTTTCCCGTGCATTTGCTTAATCAGGTAATGCCTAATCAAGAGGCAGTCGATATTGCTAGAAGGATTAGAGACCCATTGAAAGCAGCTAAGCAATTAACAGCTGAAGCATTAAAAAGAGACAGTAAAGATGATATATCTTGCGTTGTGGTCAGATTTAGGTGTTGATATTTTTTAAACCATGTTCCTTACTGATTGCAGTTGAAAGCAACAATAAGGATATGTCTCAAAATGGCATAGCAATTTGTGGTCTACAACAAACAACTATAGTACATACTTGGATTAGTTCTAACTGAATTCATTTAGGTAATGTGTCAAAGAAATAGAAAAGGATTTGTGTCAACTTTTGAAATTTGTTTGTAGACTAGATTTTGTTTGATTTGTTTCTTTTAAGTGTGACTGTTTGGAATATGTTGTTTGTTGTGTGGTTTTTATTGTGCATAAGACAAAAGGAAACTAAATGTAGATGGAGAATATAAGTAGTGGTTGGAGAATTGTGATTGATCCAATGGTGATTATACCAATCCACGTTTGTATTTAAATTTATCATGCATTTTCCCCTCTGGTTTATTGATGAAATATGAAAGAGTCCCATGAGAGATCTGGGATTGACAGGGATATATCACTTATTGAAACCCGACCAGCAAATCATGAACAGAATATCCAAGTGAGCGCAGGTGTTAACTATATAACTAAATGAGATTGAATTTAGTAGGAGTTAGCTTCTCACAAAATATTAAATTGTGATTCAAATTTTTGTTAAAAAACCTATCTATATTTAATGTCTGATTATGTCTTAAATATTATTATTTTGTTATACAAATATTTATAAGAAAAATAATACTATAAGTCGACTTGTAGCATAATTGAATGGATGAGGCTTCGTGAATATTTTCAGACAATAAGATTTTGCACCCGCTGTATTTATGCTGTAAGTCTGTAACTTATAGCTTTATTCAATTAACTCCTAGTTGTAACTTAAAACATATTTGTTACAAGCATTATTTACAATTTTATGCACCTCATTAAAACAGAAGAGGGGTTTATATGTTAATAGCCTATTAATGGTTGGCTCGCAATTATCAATTTATAGTTTAAAATTTCTTTCATTAAAGGAAATCTTTGCATTATAAATTATAAAGGTAAGTATAATCATAGTGTGTTTCGTCTCGATAAGGGTAAGAGTCGTATGACAGAAAAATGAACTATTTTGAGCAATCTTTCCTCCTACATGAAATTCATTTATTGAGAATATATAAAATAAAGGATTGGCAAGTAATAAGTTTTCAAAATTATTCCTTTTATTTCATTTTTATAAATGTTTTTATTTAAAAGATTTTAAATAGATACACATGCACAAATGAACAAAAACTTCATTTTAACATCCCATCATCTTCTATCATTTCTTTCTCCTTCATAATAACACTTATTTTCAAGTTATTTTTATGCTTGTAGGCACACGGCTTTCGATTATTTTATTTTTGTATTATTCCATTTTTACGAATTATTTAAAGTATTTCAAATTTTGAAGATTTAAACAACTAAACAAAAGAAACAAAGAATTACATTATTATCTTTTTTTTCTTTTTTATCAAATATTAATTCATTAATATCATTGCATAAGAACATATTATTTTATAAAATCAATATTTTTATCTTTAAACTAGTATTTTACCTACGCGATGCACAGAATTTTGATGAGAAAATAATAATTATTGATGGTAAAACAATTTGTTAAAAATAGACATGTGTAATTACATATCATTAATTTATATCAATAAATTAAACATTATAAAATTTTATCTAAAACTTTGCTGTAAACAACATTTGCAGTTATATTTAAAATTACTTTAAAAATATCTTCTTGTGAGGTTGTTAAAGAAAATAAATTAGTTCAAAAAATTATTATTATCCATGCAAAATAATGACTAATTCAATAGTAATATAACTCACATGGATATTGAACAAAATCATCTCAACACAAACAATATTGTGTTTATCATTATATGTAGTTATACTTCACTTGCGAATTACTCTTCTCTTAATTTTTCATGTTGATTTAAGAGGAGTAATATCAGAAACCTTATCCGAATTAGGAGCCATCTTTTCATGATCAACGAAGTACCAAAATTACCTATCAAATTAACTTTAAATTATTAAAATTTTAAAGGACAATGAGAAACGTAACCAATTTTTAGTGTTTAAGAAAAAAAAATTAAGCAAATTGGTACTATAAAATATATGATGAAATAAGAGGATAGAATCATTACCTCCTTTGGATATTATTATGATTCCAAAATAGAATTCGAGCTAATTGGTAAAAATAAGCAAATAGAAACAAAATGAGAGATAGAAAAAGTATAAAATTCTATAAAAATAGTTGAGCAAACCTCTTAGACTCACTGGAAAGCTGTGAGGAAGGTTTGCAGTAATTATCCACCAAATACTTATACTATCCCGTATAAATATTGATCCTTTAATAGCAAATCATGCAAACTAAATTCTTAGTTAGGAATTATTATAGAAAATATTTTTAAAATATAGTAAATATTATTATTCTTGTTTAAGATATTCTTTTTTGATTTAATTTTATTTTTCATTTTATGTCTGATTATGCACTGTTAGAGTAATTATAAAAAAATAATTTAATTCTTTATAAAATTATGAAAGATTACAATATTATAATTAAGTTAAAATATTTAAATATTGTTCTTATATTTTTTTTTATTAATTTTAATCATTATGGGTGTTATTAGTGTGAGTATGACCATCATTTTATAGCAGAATATATGAATATAGTTATTAAAGGAAGTATAGAGTATACTATAATAATAATTTCTTTATTATTCTTGTTTAATAAAAAATATGATTTAATATTTAATTTAAATTATTTATTGTTATGAGAAAGTTTTCAAAAAAAATTATAAGGTATACTATAATAATTAATAAATATTATTATTAGTCTTGTTTAAGGTATTCTGTTACACACTTTTAGAGTAATTATAGAAAAAAAATTCTTATGTTAAGCTTAATCAGGAAGTACTTAATATAAAATATGATTTAAGATTTAGTTAAAATTATTTGTTATTTTTCATTTAAATTATTTTATTGTATTAATATTTTTTTATTATTAGAAAGTTTTTAAAAAGACTTATAAAGTATATTATAATAATTAATAAATATTATTATTCTTATTTAAAATATTTTATTTTATAACAATTTTATTTTTGATTATATACTGTTAGAGTAAACTCTAAATTTTAAACTTTTTCGTGTCAACATGATTAAGAATCATATAATATAAAATATAATTTAATATTTAGTTTAAATTATTTATTTTTAATTTAAATTATTTTATTATATCTCTAATTTAAATTTTTATTATTATTAGAAATTTTTTAAGAAAAAAATATTAAATATTACTATATGAATATAGTTATCAGAGTATACTATAATAATAATTTTATATTATTATTCTTGTTTAATATAAAATATAATTTAATATTTAATTTAAATTATTTATTTTTTATTTTAACTATTTTATTGTATCTCTAATTAAAATTATTTTTATCACTAGAAAGTTTTCATAAAAAAAATTAAATATTATTCCATTATTTCTCTAAACAATTATTTTACATTCTTATAGAGTATACTATAGTAATAATTTTATATTATTATTCTTATTTAATATAAAATATGATTTAAGTTTTAGTTCAAATTATTTATTATTTTTTATTTAAATTATTTATTGCATACTAATTATTACTCTATAATTTTGTTAGATAATTATTTTTTATTTTATTATATTTTTGAATAAAAAAAATTTTATTATTAAAAAGTTTTCAATTAGTAATTAAAAAATTAATATAATTAAACTAATTTACTTATTTACTATTAAAAAATTAAAATTAAAAAATATTAAAAAATTTATTATTTTTTAAATTCTTAAAAAATCTTTCTTATGCCACGTGTATAGAGGTGGGTTAGGTTTGTTATATTATATAGATATAGATGTAACAAAACGTGCTAACTAAGTTCTTAGCTAAAAATGACTATAAAAAATATTTTTAAAATTATGAACAAATATGTTTAAAATATAATAGATATTATTATTCTTGTTTAAGATATTCTATTTTAATTTAATTTAATTTCTAATTTTATGTTTGATTATATATTATTAGACTAATTATAAGAAAATGATTCAATTTTTTTAAAAATTATAAAAAATATTCTTTCGTGTCAAGCCTGATTAAGAAACCTATAATATAAAATATGATTTAATATTTAGTTTAAATTATTTATTTTTTTATTTAAATTATTTTATTTTATCTCTAATTTAATAATAATCTTATAATATTATTTTTATATAATATATTTTATGATTTAATATTTATTTTAAATATTTATTATTATAAAATAAATTTATTTAGTTTCTGATTATGTACTGTTAAAGTAATTATAAAAAAAATTCTCATATCAAATCTGATTAAAAAACATATAATATAAAATATAATTTAATATTTAGTTTATATTATTTTTTTATTTAAATTTATTTATTTTATCTCTAATTTAATAATAATTTTATATTATTATTCTTGTTTAATATGTTATATGATTTAATATTTAGTTTAAATTTTTTATTATTATTAAAAAAATTTAAAAAGAATCATGGATATACTATAATAATTAATAAATATTATTTTTTTAAAAAATATTTTATTTTAATTTAATTTTAGTTGTAATTTTATTTTTTATTATGCACTGTTAGAGTAATTATAGAAAAAAAATTCTCTCATAATAATATAAAATATAATTTAATATTTAATTTAAATTACTTTTTATTTTATTGTATCTCTATATTGAAGATTTTTTTATTATTAGAAAGTTTTGAATTAGTAATTAGAAAAATTAATGTAATGAAACTAATTTATTCATTTATTACTAATACAGTTAAAAATAAAGAATATTATAAAATTTATTATTTTTATTATTTTAAAAATTCTTAAAAAAACCTCTTTCTACGTATAGAAGTGGATTAGGTTTAGTATATTATATAGATTTATTTCACAAAATTATTTATAATATTATAAAAAACTTATATTAAACTCAATTTTTAAGATTTAAAAAATTACTAAAAAAGATAATTTTTTTATTAAACATAAATAATTATTATCTTGAGAATATAAAATTATAATAAATATTATATTTTTAATAAAAAGTATAATATTTGTAAGTGTTTAAACTCAATTCTAAAAAATTTAACAAAAATGTGTCAATAAAATTATATATATATATATATATATATATATATATATATATATTAACTCTAAACGATGAAGTTTAAATTTAAGTATAATATATTTAAACAAATATTTAATAATAAAAGTTTAACTTTGACGAATTATAAGTATATTTTCTACTAAAGTATACACTTTAACATAAAACAATAAATTAGATTCAAAACCAAAAAAAAGAAAAAAAAAACTCAATATAAAATACCAATGAAAATAATTGAACGTATTATATTTATCAATTATATTATTTAAATGTGAAATGGTTTATTTTATATTTTAATTACATTTGATAACACAAGTTTATAGTTTTATTTTTAATAAACCAGTAGAGATGTTCAATAAAAAAATAAAAGAGAGTTTTTAGTAAATGAGAAGCTACTCAAGTATTGAAAATAAAATTTTAATAATTTTTATTTTTATCTTAATATTTTAAATAATTTACACTCATATGAAATAATATTAACTCATTTTTTAAAAATATTAATTGTATTTTAATTAATTATAGGAGTAATTATGTTCAACCATTCTTATTTAATTAAATAGATATTAATATTAAATGGAAGTTTTATACGTCGCTGCTTTATTCGTAAAAGAAAAACATTTTCCTATATTGATTAGAAGAAGCTAGAAGCAACAGATGCGATGCGAATGCAGCCACCGGGTCATGGAGAATGCTAACAAATTCCATTGAAAAAGAGACGACAGTAATTGTCCAAATCACATATGTGATCCTTATTCAATCAACATTTTTCTCATTAAAATCCATTTCTTTCCGCGCCTCCACCGTTTCATGCCCTCTCATGTCGTTTTTCTATTTCCCCGCTCTCCTTCGACAATCACACCCCTCCCCGCGCAGCCGCAAAAACGACAACTCCGTTCGCCTCATAAACGGCACTATTATTTCTCGTAACTAAATTCAAATTGAAATCGTAGTTAAATAGCCGATTCTTCTATCTCCTTTCCATTTTACTCTTATTTTGTTTCTTTGGAGTTTCTAGAAGCTTGTTCGTTTGTTTGTTTGTTGCTCCGTCTGCAACTATCTGTCATGACACAGTGCTTATTCAGCTTAACCGAAACCAGAAACCGGTGCTACCGGTCATTGTTCTCAGGTTCGGGGCTCCGTTCCACAATCGCTGACTTAAAGGACGGGACCGTAATGCATTGCTGGGTGCCGAAGACCCGAACCGAGTCGAAGCCGAACCTTCTTCTGATCCACGGGCTCGGAGCGAATGCGCTGTGGCAATGGGGGGACTTCATACAGCACGTGACGCCGTTGTTTAACGTGTACGTGCCGGACCTGGTTTTCTTCGGAGGATCGTACACTCAGCGAGGGGAACGGAGCGAGAGGTTTCAGGCGGAATGCGTGATGCGGGTGATGGAAGCGAACATGGTGAGGCGAGTGAGTTTAGTGGGGTTGAGCTATGGTGGGTTCGTGGGGTACAGTATGGCGGCTATGTATGGTGATATGGTGGAGAGGGTGGTGGTGTGTGGGTCAGGGGTGTGTATGGAAGAGAAGGATATTAAGGAAGGGCTGTTCCCTGTCACGGATTTGGATGAAGCTGCTAACATTTTGGTGCCCCAAACGCCTCATAGGCTGAAGCAGCTTGTGGGCTACACCTTTTTCAATCCCCCTCCGTTGCGCTGGTTGCCCTCTTGCTTCCTCCTTGATTTCATTGAGGTATTTATTTATTCATTCTTCTATTTATACTGTGCTGTTATATGCTTGGTGTATTTTACAAAAATACTGGAATGCATTTAAGCCTAAAAGGTGACATATTTTTATTATATTTAATTTGTGTTTAGGTTATTTTAGAAAATTAACTAAACTGTAATTTTGGCCAATTTAGTATTTTGGTTATGATCCTTTTAGTGTGATTTTTCGTTACTTTGTTTAGTTCTTAAACTGGATATGGATAACCTATTGTATTAACCTTGGGGTTGTTTGTTTATCTGTAATAAGTTGACTTGATTCTTCTTTCGGAGATTAATTCCTTTTGATACCTAGGTAGTATTTGGTAGAGGCATATAAGATATTTGTTTGGTATGTCTCCAAATGATTATAACAAAATAGAATATAAAGTTAAAAATGTGATATATTTTTAATCATGGGACAAAAAATTACTGGGTTTCTTAGTTATATTTTGGCTGGTTCGTGTGCCATATGCTTCATAAGATGGTTAGACCCACGACTAAACTGAATTTTTCTCTCTCGTCACTTCTTAAAGGAGTTAAGTACTTAGGGGTCTTTAGGTGAGTATTTATAAATTTGATCTGAACGAATTTAATTTTGTAAAATTTTTAGTTAAAAATGAATTTAAAGTGACGTGGTTTATGTTTAAAAAGTTTTATTTTAAAATTATGTTTGTTTATAAATCAATAATAACCAAATATCAAAATTTTTTGGGTTAAATTACATTACAATTAAATAAATGAGTTTAAGTGAGAATTTAATGCTAAACTAAACATATCAATTTGGTTTAAGGGTACTTGACTAATTTAGTTAATTTATTGAAGTCAAAGATCACCTAGTGGGATTGTTGTTGCTACTTCGTTTCTGTTCTTAAACTGGATTTGGATAACCTTGTGGTTATCTAGTTTTTGGCTGTGACAAATGGACGTGATTTTTTTTCCATTGTTACTTGGCCTTCCGTGAAACAATTGGATTGGTCTAACAATGAGACCTCAAGCGTGTTTATAGGAGAAAAAGAAGAGTCTGGTGTGTATGTAGTAATGTGCAATGGTTGAATTAGATGATGTTTCAGCAGCCATTTTAACTAACTAGAATGTTGTATACATGAATATGTAAAGGAGCCAGAGTGGGCTAAAATTGGTGAATTTGGGTAGGCTATGTGCAGGGACTATGAACAAGAAAAGAGAGAATTGATCAAAGCCATTGCAAAGGACCGAAAACTTTCTGACATCCCCAAGATATCTCAGGTTCATTTAAACTTACCTCTTAGTTGGATAATCTATTGCAACTGTGTAATTCTTATATTAAAAGGATTTGTGTCATTTTCCATGCAGCCTACATTAATCATGTGGGGAGAACATGATCAAATATTTCCTTTAGAACTCGGCCACAGATTGAAAAGGTTAGTAACTCTCTTATGATTTTCTCTTTTTGCGCCCCTTTTTGGTTAACTGTATATCATATCTTTTTTAATCTTTTGAAAATAAGATTCTGGAAGGAATTACATCCAAAAATTAAATTTTGGAATCAAGAGGAGGTGTATCTGTTGTCATTTTTGAGTGTTTATTTTTATTCCCATTTAAAATATTTTGTCTAAAATATAACTTTTTTCTCTCTTATAACTATATTAATAATAAAATATTTTACATATTTTTTCAATACATACGAGAGTGACAATAAATACTCTCAAAAAAGGTGGTATCACCGCCTCTTATTGTACTTGTTACCATCATTTTCAACTTCAGAACTCATTGGATTTGTGTCATAGGCATTTAGGGGACAATGCTCAACTAGTGGTCATTAAGAATGCTGGGCATGCTTTCAATGTGGAGAAGACCAAGGAGTTCTGTGCGATCTTGAAGTCCTTTCTTGTGGATTTTCAGCTACCAGCAGAGAGCTCACCTTCTAAGTGGCAAAACCTCAACTGAGTTCAAACACAGAACATGAAAGAAAATCTACTCTGATGTCAGAAGAAACAGGTACCCGGGAAAATGAGTGATTTTGTTTTAACACATTCTTTTTCCATCTGTCTCCAAAGCAGAGGCTTATTCAAATAGTTCAATGCAAAGATGTTCATAAATAAACTTTGATCTCTTATATGTTGAATAAAAGCATCATCATGATTTTTTGTGTGCTTAATAGAGCCAGATATATTGAAAGTGCAATGAAATTAAAGAGATATATTAGGATATAGAGGAAGTTTTCAAGCATCGCTAATTTTTACTCAGGTTTCTATCATTTGTAACTAGATGAATTACATCATGCGAATATCAACGTGTCAATCAGATACGACAACAGATTATCACAATCTAGTTAATGCTAGAACTTCTGAAAAATAATTATGCATCCAGTACATGAACATGACATCTGATTCTCAAAGTGGACCAAGCAGAATTTGTATTCATTCCAATTCCAAGAATAATTTTTGAACTGATGGTCAACGATTGACTTTCAAGTAAACCTATAAGTCAAGAAATTACATATCGACGCTTGAGTTTGCTACATTTAGACCATAAAAAGTTGGATGATGTAATTCGTATTTGAAAATAAAGATGGGATTACTTGATTCAGAAATATAATTGACATTCACTAGGCCTCGCCATGCCTATCAAGCGTGTGAAGATGATCTTTATTCTTGAAATGAAATTAATTATTACCTTTAGTCTTAAATATAATATTTTATTTTTGGAAATTGGTTATGATTCTTTTTATAATTTTTTTATAAATTATTTGCTCACAAAATATCTTTAATGGAGACAAAGTAATTAATTAGATGAAATAGAGTAAATAATGGGTCTCAATAATCAACTGATCTACCCAGTTGTCAAAGAGAAAAATTAATTGAGGTAATCGTAATGTTTAGAACTTCACATGAACAGGTATTACTAGCCATAATCTTCAATATGGCTTGTTGCAATTTCTTATAGTCTGGATTCCATAGAAGCCTTACTTCGAATCGATGGATCATTTTTTTTGGTCTGAGCATGGGTGGATCATTTTTTTAGTATTCCTTTTTTCTATGAAAATCTTTTAGAACAAAGAAAATAAAAAATAAGGTAGTATTTTTTGTAATTTTAAAAATATATTTTCTCAAATCAATGGACTCCTGATTTTTTTTTCTTGTTTGGTGTGATGTGATGAGAAATAACAAGAAAATCTTCGGATAGAATTCACTAAAATTTTCAGTTTCTGAAAAATTCAGTTCCACTTTGCAAAGAAAATGGCGAGAGAGAGAGAGAGAGAGCATTCTTTTAAACTGCCCATCATCTTACTCATTTTTAGTATAGCTTTCTCTTCCCAAATTCAGAAAGAAAGAGCTATATTAGGCATTAGCAGTTACTTCATGGAACTACTTACATAGATTCACTGTTTTAGCGATTTTACTGTTAAACATAGGTGTTCTACTCTTTATTAACTCACATATTGCTGGTTACAATTGCTAATATAGGTTTCTTTGACCACTGAGAAAACCATTTTATGTAATAATGGGGGTTTGATGATAATATCTTCTGGGGATCTTTCTTCTTTACACGACAAAGACTAGGACATTTTAAAGATATCTCTTTTGTCTTGATGATCCTATATCAACATTGATCATAAGTTTAAAGCTTCAATTTTTTTTATAGTAAATGTTAAATGATTTAAGTGAAGAATACTTGGTTGTACAAGAATGATAATTTGAATTAAAACCTCACATGGTCATGTAAAATAAGGTTCAAAATTGAAATAGTCGCCATAATTTAAATTCTCTAAAATACAAAAGTTGAAAGCTTGAAAATTGATGATAGTTATAAAACTTGTTCAAAATGTTCAATATGTATTTGGAGTATAGATCCTTTGCAGTCGGAGGAAAAAAAAAAGATGAATATCTATCAATTTTTTTTAAAATTTAAAACTTAATAAAATATATAAAAAATGAACTATTGGATAATGAATGCAGGAATGAATATGAAAAATTTAATTGCAGAGGATCCAATGGTATTAAAGGAGGCCTCAGAAGGATTTTGTTTTTGTTGAAGGCTAAGATAGATTTAAACCAATCCAAATTGCTTAGGTCATTAAGAAACAAAAAGCTACCTAGCCCATATAGTATTGATTATGTCTTTCAATTTTAGAGCCCATTAACTATGTTTTTATCCATTCACTTTCTGTTTCTGTTGACAAAGAAAAAACAAACGATAACTTTCTCTGTTTCTTATTTATTTATTTTTAAGAAAATGACTTCTTAAAAGTTTTAAATAATATTAATTATTATTATTTAATTATTTCTCTATTTTTACTTAATTTTTAAATACTTTACTTTATATATTTATTATAAATAAAAATATCAATAAATTTCATTAAAAACTAATTTTTTAACATAAAAAATATTAATTATATTTTTAAAATTTAATTAAAATACCGACAATGTAACAAATTTTATATTTCAACTCAGTAATGAATCGACGTATCAACATAAATTATGAATTTTAATAAAAAATAGTATAAAATTATATTTATAGTATATTTTAATTGATTAATTATATAAAAAAAGTTATATTGACGGTATATTAAAATTATATATTTTTTAATTTGTATATATCTTCTTATGTAGACAAATAAAACACCAAAAAAATTAAATACTAGATGAGATACTATAAAAAAAAAAGTATCAGTAAAAGAAATAATTGATATGAACTTAATTTTTTAAATAACAACATTTTAAGATGAATTAAAAAAACGAAAAATAGCATACTAGATTTGCACAACAGTTTTGCTGCTTCTAACTTTATGTAGTTTTCAGCCAATAATTTCGAAAAGCTGACAACGTGGAGTTGGCAAGATTTTTATTATTATTCCGACAGGTTACAATCGTTGGCGATGTCATGTTTCAACCAATTGAATAATTGCACACCTAAATGTAAGCGATTCAATCATTCTAGAAGGAGGATTATTATTTGAAATTTTGTTCTAAAAATATAATAAATATTTTTTAATTAAATATTATTATTATTATTATTATTATTTCAGCTTTTAGAATTAATAATATCTTTTATTATTAGTTTAGTAATCTTTCTAATTTACAATTATTTTATTTTTTAAATATATATAATTTAATAATTAAATAAAATTTTATATTTTTAAATGATTTTATATTGATATGATGAAAATTTTAAATAATTTTAAAAAATATTTTAATTTAATTCTTCAACCACAAAATTATTCTAAAATGATTGAAATTTAATAATTTAAAAATATAATTTATTTTAAAATAATACTTTTATTTTATAGTGTAAAATTTAATTATTAATAATCAATAACATAAAAAAGAAAGTAATGTCAAAGAACAATGAATTCAAACTAATGTTATCTAAATAATTGATTATATGATAACTATATATTATTATAAAATTACATAATTTAATATATTAAAAAAATGTAACATTAAAAAATAATGTATTCAAATTAATACTTTTAAACATTTGATTATATGATAATTATATATTATTGTGAGAACCACATAATTTAAAATCAATAGGAATAATAATTTCATAATGGTGAGATCAAAGCTAGATATTACATAACAGAATAAAATCTAAAAGTTACTATTAGAGTATTGGTTGTAAATTTATGATTATCTGTGAAGGATTGATTTTTTATTAAAGTTTTTTCCATGAACTCTAAGAATTTTAAGGATTAAAGTTAGTTAATAATTAATATTATATGATGTATTATTATTGTTTTAAAACTTTCAACATTTTGACTAGTTTCAAATTTATTGTTGAGGTTCACTTAACTCTTTAAGCTTCTTGATTTACTTCCTTCGTCCTCACTAAAATTTTGCTCATATGACTTTTGATGCTTCTATGCAATTTTACAATTGTCATGATATTTGTATCGTGAAACTCAATTGTTGTAGTCATTACATGATCAAACTTGATTGGCATAGTTCAAAGAATTTTTTTTCACCAACTTACTTTCAGTAATCTCATATCTTTATACCTTCATCTTATTGACAAGATTTGTAACACTATAAAATTATTATTCAACACTTTTTGAGTTAGACATCTCATATTTTTTGTATTCTCTATACAAAGATTATAATTTAAATTTTTGGGCTTTCTCCACTTCAATATATGATAACTTCAAAATGTTTTATTCTTCTTTAGCAATTTTAACATTTGTTAATTTGGCAAAAATTGAGTAATCTATACATTGGTAAATTTAGAAAAACACCAATTAATCTTTCCTTTGAGTTGCATCATCGACTCTTATTATTAACTCAGTTCAATAAAGTTTCAAATATTGTAAACTTTTAAATGAGTAAATATTAAAAGTTTTCAATAATTATAATTAAATTTTTTATCAAATTTAGACCGACCATCCAATATTAAAATTAGTTGACATCTTTCACTCTTAATTTTAAGTTGAATCTAAGATATATTTGTTTTTTAGTCTGATGACACTTTCTCATGTTTACAATATCCAATCAAGATCTAACAAGCTTTGATACTAATTTAATGATATTCAAGCACTATTATGACAAACTCATACACCACAAAAGAGTTTTACTCTAAGACTTTGGCCTTTTACAAGCTTTACAATGAAATATAATAATAATTTTAGAAATAAATTGATAAATAAAATATAAATATTGGATTTCATAACTTGATAGCCACCATTTCTATTTGTGACTTTAACTTAATCTAATATATTAATTACAAAAACTGCAAAAATAGCTGTAAACTTTCTTGATTGTGAATCTTTATTTTTATATTTATAAAATTTATTTTAATATTTTATATAAAATTTTAAATTTCCTACCAATATCTTTGTCTATATAAAATTTATAATATTTAATATATTATTTATGTTATTTTAAAATAAATTAATTTTAAAATTATTATAATTTTATTATTTTGATATATATTATTTGTAGTTATAGAGTTATTTTAAAATAACTTTTTAAAAATTAAATAGTTTAAATAATTATATTCTTCTTATTATTAATATTATTATATGATAAAATAAAATTTTTATGTATTGCATAAATTATAAACTAGTAACTATAAATAATTCTAAATTTATGT